TATTTATGCATACAAGAGCTGGGGCACAGGCCAGAGAGGCGGGGTGGGGGGTGAGAGGATCCGCCGGAGACAGAGCAGGGAGCAGAACAGACAGACTGACTGAAATGCACTGCTGAAGGGAGCAGCGGGCGAGACAGGAGAGGTCTGCTGTGCCATGTGGGTTGCTCTCTGGTCGGCTGGGGATCGAACTCGTGCTGCAGAGGCTGCGGATTGCTTCATAGTGTGGTGCTTAACCCCTTGCACCACCAGGGAGGCCCGGTTTCAGATTTTTAAAAAGTAAAATGGGAGGGCCTCCCCTGGTGGCGCAGCGGTTGAGCGCTGGGCTGTGAAGCTACCAGTAGCCACTGCAGTGCCGGTTCGTTCCCCGGCCACCGGCGAGGGTCCCACAAAAAAAAAAAAAAGTAAAATGGGAGAATAATTGTTTTAAGAACTAAATGAGGTATTCCACATTGCCTACTTCCTACAATGCCCGTGGAGGGCCAGGAATGGGCACAGTGCAGATTTTCTGATCCAGCAGACCGGGTAAAGGAACATTCCTGAAACCCTCAGTGGCTTTTGCAGGCTTTTATTGGGATTTACCAGGTACACAGGAGGCAGGGGTGCTGGGGGGCTAGGAGACTGTCTTCACTCTATCTGGGCTCTCCAGCCTTCTCTCGTGTTCTCTCTGCTTCTCTACTCTCCTGCTTCTGTTCGTTCTTGGCTGCTGCTGGCGCCCCCGTGACACCGCCCTTAAATGCCCAGTTTCAGCCCAAGTGAAACCCATCTACCTATGCCCACACCCTACTCCAGGTGCCCGCCATCAGGCATGCATTCGGGACCACAGGGTTCCTCATCTATCCTATTGGTGGGAGGGCAGAAAAGCCTGACACTTTTTACCTTATCCTACCACCCGGCAGAGGAAAGTCCATTACAAAGTAGCAATCTGGCAAGGAGGACAAGAGAATGAACGCACTGGGAACCAGGCTCTAAAGCTGCATTTACTAAGGTGGAACAAAACAATGAAGAGACATTTGTGACCTTGCACTGGCTGTTTTTGATGCTCCATGGTGCTAGTGTTACTTTTCCCTTTGCTTTTGCAGTTGGTGCTTATTGTGCAACCACCCCAGGTCGGGCAGATTCATCGCTGACTGGGACAGATGGAAAGAGAATTTTGGAGCCTTTGGTATCTCTAACATGCCTTTCACACTCAATCAGGGGGCTGGGCTCACAAGCAGGCCAGCAGGCAGGGAGGCAGGCAGGCAGGCAGCAACGGAGCCTCCTAGGCCTGGTGAATCTCCCCTTTCTCGATTACTTCTCCGCCCAGGTGTCCATAATCTTAGGCTCACCTGCGCTGTGCTCACGCTCCCAAGGGCTTTTTACAACATGTGGGTAATGAAACTTGGGAGGAAAGCAAGGCCGCAGGTGGTGCCTATAGATGCTGGCAGTGGGAGGCACAAAAGAAGCGGAGTACCCCGCTGCCCCCCATCCCCCAGCAGTGTGTTTCAGTCAGTGCTCTACCTCTGGAAGCATAACAAATTGTGCCCAACCACTAGAGCAAAAATAACCTTGAAAAGAGCCAAGGCTCTTGTCTTCCTCAAGGTCTGTTCATTAGAACAGGGCTATTTCAGGATGATTAAAAAAAAAAAAAAGTTTCCACATTTCCAAAAAGCTCTGAAGTGTTTCCAGTGCTGCTAATCCATGAACGCTACTTGAAATAACAAGACTGAGGATACTTTCTGAACTCCCCAGAAAAAGGAACTATAGTTTACAAAGATGTAGCTGAAATAGAAATTTCCCTATTGAGATGTGCAATAACATTTGAATCCCCTTCTGCCATCCAAGGACTTTTAAGTTCTTTTTTCTTTTTCTTTTTTAAAAAATTTCTCCACTTTGAAATTAAAATACATGTTGTTTTCTAGTTTTGCTTCCCTTGAAGCAAATGTTTTCTTTTTTTTTTAAATATTTATTTATTTATACAAGCACTGGGTACAGTCAGAAGCGCGGGAGGGTGAGAGAATTCACCAGAGCCAGAGCGGGGAGCAGAGCAGGCAGAAGGACCGAAGTACACTGCTGAGGGGAGCAGCGGGCGGCAGGAGAGGTCTGTGCGCCATGTGGGACCCTCGCCCAGCAGCCGGGGATCGAACCGGCGCTACAGAGGCTGCAGGCAGCTTCACAACCCAGGGCTCAACCGCTGCGCCACCGGGAGGCCCTCTTTTCTTTTTTTTGACTTAATTTTTGAAAGAATGATTTTTTCCTGATTCCCAAGCTGCTGGGAAAGGACATCTTATGCACAGACGAAGGCATTTGGGATGTGAGGTATGTTCCATGATTTGAAGGATTGATTTCTTTTTGTGGATGGTACTTACGGGTGGCATTACAGTCCTCCACAGTAAGCTTTTTGAACCTTTTGAAGGATTTTGAGTAACAGATTGTCTGTATGGAGGGGTAATTTACTGTCTTTGTGCGGTGTGGAGGCAAATGAAGTGGTTATCTGGAAGTATCCTGCCGAGTTCTTATTTGATTACTGAAGTTTTAGAAATTTCCCCTTCTTTCATTTATTTATTTATTTATTTTTAAAAAAGATTTTATTTATTATGCACACAAGAGCTGGGGTACAGAGGTGCAGGGGATGAGAGGATTCACCAGAGACAGAGTGGGGAGCAGGACAGGCAGACTGACTGAAATACACTGCTGAGGGGAGCAGCGGGCGAGACAGGAGAGGTCTGCCGCTCCAGGTGGGTATCTCCCTGGCCAGGAATTGAACTCATGCTGCAGTGGCTGCTGACAGCTTCACAGGTTGCATCTTAACCCTTGTGCCACCAGGGAGGCCCCCCTTCTTTCTTTTAAATCATACTAGCAAGAATGTTTATTCAGATGCCAGCATCAGCAGAGAGCACATAATCTCCCCAGGGTATTTTCTGCTACTGAACATAAAACAAACATTCCAGAGTAATAATCTCCTTGCAACCCTGGCAGACTGTTTCTTGCTTCTTTGTTTTCAATAAGTTACAAAGAAGTGAAACAACGTAAACCAAAAAAAGGTACACTGCATCAGATGAATTCCTTTCCTTGTGAGAAGCCTTGGTGGCTTCTGAACTTTGCCTAAAATGAGCTTAGACCTTGCATATAGAAAATATCTTTTCTCTGAGCAGCTTTAAACCTGAACCTCTCTTTGCTATGCTTCCCTGTTTCTATAGCAACCACAGTGGAAAACTTCAATAGCATCTACAATGCAGTGATATCAGCAATCATCGTTACTATCATGTAGGGTATTCACAAGCGACTCTTCCTCCACTTTCCTTTTCAAGGACAAACTAAGAGAAAAAAAGGATTAAACACACATGGTAACAGCGTCAGACATCAGGAAGAACTTCCACAGAAGGAATGCGTGAATAAGAGAGGGTATGGGATTTTTGGTTTCTTTCTATTTTATTTTTTTTAAAGGATCTGTTTATTTATACAAGAACCAGGGTACAGGCCAGATGTGCAGGAGGGTGAGAGGATTCACCAGAGACAGAGCGGGGAACAGAGCAGGCAGACTGATGAAACACACCACTGAGGGGAGCAGCGGGCGAGACAGGAGAGGTCTGCTGCGCCATGTGGGACCCTTGCCAGCTGGCTAGGATGGAACCGGCCCTGCAGAGGCTGCGGACAGCTTCGCAACGCGGCGCTCAACCGCCTGTGCCACCAGGGAGGCCCTGTTTGTTTCTATTTTAAAGTAAGTTATATATAACCTGTTTTGGTTGATGGAATAGAAATAATCTCCAAAGATGTATGGTGATTAAGAAAGGACTTCTTATTGTAGTTGAAGTACTATTATCAGGAGCAGAATTTTCCTGGTTATTTCATTCATTCATTCTATTGAGGTAACATTGTATTACAACATTGTAATGCAATACCACACCCACCACCAAGATACCCTAAGCCCTTCATCATTGTGCTCCTTCCACTCTTTGAATCTGGAGCAGAATTTTAATGTGACACATTTTTTTAAAACTTATTTTGTGTTCATCACTGTGTTAGATGTGACAGGGATATATAATAGATCCTGAACTGAAGGCATTCTTCTTTCACAGGTTTAAGCAAAGGTTTTATTTTATTTATTCATTCATTTATTTATTTAAAAGATTTATTTATTTATACAAGCACTGGGTACAGTCAGAAGCATGGGAGGGTGAGAGAATTCACCAGAGCCAGAGCTGGGAGCAGAGCAGGCAGAAGGACCAAAGCACACTGCTGAGGGGAGCAGCGGGCAGTGGGCGGCAGGAGAGGTCTGCGCGCCATGTGGGACCCTCGCCGGTGGCCGGGGATCGAACCGGCGCTGCAGAGGCTGCAGGCAGCTTTGCAGCCCAGTGCTCAACTGCTGTGCCATGAGGGGAGGCCCTTTTATTTTATTTTAAAGATTTATTTTTATTTATTTATGCATACAAGAGACAGAGTGGGGAGCAGAACAGGCAGATCTACTGAAATACACTGCTGAGGGCAGCAGCGGGCGAGACAGAAGAGGTCTGTTGTGCTGTGTGGGTCAGCTCCCTGGCTGGGTATCAAACTCATGCCACTGTGGCTGGCAATAGCTTCATAGCACAGAGACTTTAACTCCTGTATCACCAGGGTGGCCCTAAGCAAGCGTTTTAAACTAAGTTGAGCCTTTCCACCATATTTATGTTATAAAGAAATCTGTTATCAAGGACATCAAATGAGTATATTTTTATTGTAGGACAGGAAAGCAAAGGAGGGATTGCTTTGTATGAAGGCGTAAACTGGAACCATTCACTGCATGTGTTGTGCCTTAGAGTTGTCAAGGTGGTTGTTTCTGTTGGGATCAACCTTGTCTAATCTCAGAATACTGGAAAAATATCACTTCTATGTGTAGTATAACATGAAAAAGTCTGGGAGTACTGCCCCAAAGGGATTTATGTGAGAATCTGGAAGTCCAGAAATTCTTAACTATATTGTCCAAGTCTTCCCAACCCATTTAAAGATAAGGAGTCTATGTTCATCTGTGAACTCCCCAGGATAGCATGCTCTTCTGGATGCAGCAACAAGAAAGTATGAAGTGAGGCTGATAAAACAAGAAAGATGAGGACTGAGACCTGACGATTGCATTTAGTTACACAGAGATTTCAGGGAGCCTTGAGAAGCCATGGGGCTGTGGTAGGCCCGAAAACCTGGTGGACTGGAGTGAAAAGAGAAAGGAGAACTGGAGATAGCACTGTTGCTGGCTCTTCTGAGGAGCTTGCTATTAAAAGAAATAGAGAAATGGAGAAGAATCTGGATTAGGATGTGGAGCCAGGACTTTTGTTGTTGTTGTTGTTGTTGTTGTTGTTTTAGAGGCAGAGATACAGCATGTTTGTTTACCAGTGTGAAGGATCCTTTAGAAGGCAAACACTCACAGGTAGAAGAGATTTGGGGGAATCGTGGGAGAGACGTCTGTGAGGAGATGAGCAGCGTCAGGACTGCAGTAGAGGCAATGGCCAGACAATGGAGTCGACGCCCCTTTACAGGCAGGGAGGGCGAGTACGTGGGTACAGATATAGAGCTGTAACTTATGGCAAAGGTCATGGTGAAATTCTTTTCCGAATTGTTTCCATCTCTCTGGGAAATAGAAAGCAAGATGAGCAGCTGAGAATGAGGATGGAAGCAGAGAAGGGATCAGGTTTTGAATTCTAATTATTATGCTCCCTTCATTTTCAGTTCCCTAGCCCTGACCACGGCTGTAGAGGGCAAGGCACCGTGTGACCTGCTGGCAGTGCCCTGGTCCTCATCTTCACCCCACACAGGCTGGGAACCCTGGCCTGAGAGGTTGGTTCTTGCCAAATCTCCCTCCCCCCATGCCCTGTAGCCCCTGAGTGTCTCTCCATAGTGGATGCATCTGGCTAAAAACATGCAGTAAATAAAACAGTATCTTTTTGAGAAAACTTATGAGTGTTTTCTAGTTTGCACTGTTCACATACTGAATGTTAGAAAACAACTAAACTGTTGAAAATCATCCTGCTTATGAAGAGAAGAAGGATCAAGAAGATGCCTTTGCTCCACTAAATTTATTTATTTATTTTTAAAGATTTATTTATTTATGCACACAAGAGCTGGGGTACAGGCCAGAGGTGCAGGGGGTGAGAGGACTCACCAGAGACAGAGTGGGGAACTGAACAGGCAGACTGACTGAAATACACTGCTGAGGGGAGCAGCTGGCGAGTCAGGAGAGGTCTGCTGCGCCATGTGGGTAGCTCCCTGGCCAGGGATTGAACTCGTGCTGCAGAGGCTGCGGACAGCTTCACAATGCTGTGCTTAACCCCTTGCGCCACCAGGGAGGTCCTCCACTAAATTTATATTTGCTTTTATTCATTTAGTTCTGTCATAACATCTTTTTTTCACCAAATAGAGTGTGTGGGCTTGGAACTAGAAATTAAAAATTTTCTTGTGATGTTAAAAGATGCAAATACAGCCTTGAGGGGGTGGTTCCCTTGGGTCATAATTGCCAGGGGTTGCGGGGGGCGGTGTTGAACCACTGATTTGGAGACCTTCTTCCAAGAGCTTCTGATTCTGGAGTGAGCTTGAGAATTCTCTTTTCTTTTCTTTTCCTTTTTTCTTTTTTTTTTTTTTTTAAAGAATTTATCTATACAAGAACTGGGGTAGAGTCAGAGGTTCAGGAGGGTGAGAGAATTCACCAGAGACAGAACAGGGAGCAGAACAGGCAGACAGACCCAAGACACTGCTGAGAGGAGCAGCAGGCGAGGCAGGAGAGGTCTGCTGCACCATGTGGGTTTCTCCCTGGGCAGCTGGGAACTGAACTGGTGCTGCAGAGGCTGCAGACAGCTTCACAGTGCTGTGCTCAACCCACTGTGCCACCAGGGAGGCCCAAGAATTCACATTTCTAACATGTTTCAGGTAATTCCAAGTTGCTGGTCCACAATTGAACTATTGCCTTAAGGAGCTGTGTTTTTTTTTTTTTTTTTTAAATTGGGTCATATATATTTAAAAATAGGCAAGAAGTGCAGTTCTTCCAAAGTAATCACATTTCCATGTAATTCAGCATTGTGGTGTTGTATCTCATGGACACTACCTAAGGGAAATCTGAAGTTTTTATTCATGCAGTGGCCTATGTTTAAGATCAGGACTGTCAAAAGCAATACCAGAAAATCCTCCTTCCCTTTGTTATTTATCAAATCAAAAGGTTTCTGGTTTCTTGCAGTGCAGGAGGCACTTGTGTGACATTTTCATGCCCGATGACACTTTTTCCATGTGGATCAGAATCAAATGAGGAAAGTAAACTCAACATCCTGGTTAAAAGAATGTACTTCAGCTAGTAGTGTCTTCCAATTTGGAAGTATTAGCAGGACCTCAGATTTCTCCAGGTCCTAAACATTCTTGGTAGGATTGAAGAAATACCTTGGTGGTGGAGAGGAGAGTAATAGTCCCGGGATATCTGATGTCATCTACAGTGTTGACTTAAAGACAGTTATTCTGAAACCAGACTAGCTATGAATCACAGTTCTGTCGCTGAGCAAATTATTGAAATCCTTTGTGACTCTCTTTTCTTATCTGTAATATAGGGATGTAATATTTATCTCATAGGAATATTATAATGTGAGCTAGTGGTGAAAAGTGGTGCCAGGCACAAAGTAAATGTTAAGAAAGTGTCAGCTCTCAGAATCCACAAACAAGTCTGTCTGTAAACCAGGTGCAATGCCTTTTGATAAAGTCTTAAACTAACTAAATGAAAGTATCAAGCAGAGTTAATATGGCTGAATGAAATTGGCTTAATCTGAAACCCATTGATTTTTTCCAACTTCATTTTTGGATGCTTTTTTGGGTTCTTTATATAAGTAAATCAAGTTGTGGTTCTCATTCAGGGTGGCTTTGCTTCTCGGGGGAGCTGCACCCCCCTGACATTTTTGGTTGCCACAAATCAGGGTGGGAGTTACTGGTGGGTAGTGGCCAGGGATCCTGTTAAACACTGAATCCACAGGACAAACCACCCCTGTAAAAAATTATCCGGCCCTAAATGTGCCAAAGTCGAGAAACTTGATTTATGTTGTCTGGTGTGAGATAGTAGGTGAATCACGTCAGTGATGCCCAGATGCTGAGTGCTGGTAAACATTAAACCACCTCTTTTTCCCCTCATTCCCCAAAATCCCTGTTTAGCAAAAATTTGCCAATTTCTGTGTTTCACAAATTCCCATAGTGGCCCATTTCAAGCTACCAATTTTGTGTCACTGAACAAAGGATTAGGAAGAGATAGTTTGCTAAACTAGTATTGTTCCTGACCAGGGGGGATGAGGGCGGGCTGTCTAATGGATTACTTAAAAATGCCTTTCCTATCTGTCTGTAGGCCCTGTTAGCTCCTGGATGTGTGTAGCGAAGACAGTCATAATTCTTGTTGCTGTTCCCAGCTTCCTTTTCTTTAGTGTTTCTCCGGGAGTGGATTTTGAGAGTTTAGCGTGGGGATGAGTAACTTGCATGCCGCTGACAGTCTTAACTTCACCAATAGAGATGAGAAAAAAGAAAGGGAGGAAGTCATGAAATAATAAATAAAAGGGAAGCATAGTGGGGGAAGAGAGAAAAATTGATGCACTCTATGAGGAAATACTACTGTCTATTGACAAAATTGTTTATTAAGACAATGAAGCAGGGTCTCCCCTGGTGGCACAGTGGTTGAGCGCTGGGCTGCAAAGCTGCCTGCAGCCTCTGCAGCACCAGTTCGATCCCCGGCCACCGGCGAGGGTCCCACATGGCGCAGCAGACCTCTCCTTCTGTACCCACTGCTCCCCTCAGCAGTGTGCTTCGTCAGTCTGTCTGTTCTGTTCCCCACTCTGGCTCTGGTGAATTCTCTCACCCTCCCGCGCTTCTGACTGTACCCAGTGCTTGTATAAATAAATAAATAAATAAATAAATAAATCTTAAAAAAAAAGGACAATGAAGCAACAGAAAAGTTTAGAATATGATGTTTACAAACATGATTATTCTTTTTAAAAAATATTTTATTTTATATAATCCTTACATCATTTTTCATCTTTGCACAATGTATGCATTTTCATTATGGCTATATTCTCCATACAATTGCACCGCCCCTCCCTTATTTTGACTCTAGTCCTTCCTCTCCCTGTCCCTCCCTCCCCCCCACCCCTTTAGTGTGTCTCTGGTTTATAGTTGCTTGTTGATTTTTACTTTGTATTGATTAGTCTTTTTCCTGGTCCCTTATTTAGGTTTTCTAAATTCCTGCTATGAGTGAGACCATCCGGTATTTTTCTTTCTCTTTCTGACTTATTTCGCTGAGCATGATCCCTTCCAGCTCCATCCATGTTGCTGCAAACCGCATCAAACATGATTATTCTGACAATCTCCCCTAAAATTCCCTCTCCCAACCCTGTATTCCCTGTCTTGACTGATGGTACAAACTACCAGATTGCTTGAACAAGAAACCTGAGCATCATTACCCTAAACTTCTCACCCAGACTCCCCTACTTACAATTAGACACAAAGTCCTAGCAATTCTTCAGCAGCCCTATCAGTTCATCCTATTGGTCCCATTATTTGCCTCCTTGGCTTTCAAGTTAGGCCTTGACTATTCTGGTGGTTTCTCAATGGTTCTATCCAGAATTCTAACTTTCTGCTAAGGAATATTCTCATTAAATTTGCTGAGAGTGGAGTGGTTGAGTATATTCAGGCTCTGAAGGCTGCCTGCCCTGAGTTGCCATTATTCCTTTACTTACTAGTTGTGTGACCTGGGAAGTTAGCCAGCATATCTGCCTCAAACCCCTCTGTAAAACAGGCACAACTGTGAGATTTCAATGAAATATTCTGTCTAGGAGAAGTATTTAGGAGGGCATTTGGGGTGTAGTAAATACTCTGTATTACTATGATTAAGATTGTGTTTCCAGTTTACAATCCTTCAGGGGTCCCCTCTACTTCAAAGATTCCCCTATGCCCATATCAACCAGGCAAGCTCCCACTCAGCCTCAGATCTTGGCTCAGGGGTCTAATGAGCCTTTTGGGGGCTCCTTTAGGCATAGTTTAACCTCTCATTGCCCTTCTGTTTACAGGATTATCTTCCTCATGGCAAGTGAGCTACTTGAGAGCAGGGACAGTGGCTTCACCTTATTTTGTTTAGAATCTTCAGGATCTTGCACTGTGCCTGACAGTGAACAGCAGCAATGACTAGTATTAACCACAGTTGACTACATGAGAGGGCCAGAAAGAACTGAGACAGAAAACACTTGTTTTGCTATGCTGATAGGATGGTGAATGTTTTGGCCCTTGAGAGTTCTGTAATACAAAGTGAAAAATGGCTTCTCTGTATCCACACAGCCAAATGACCTTCTCCTTGGCTAAAAGAACAAACTGGATCCATAAATTGGACTACTCCTTGGCAACAGAAAGGAACAAAATATTAAACCACACAGCATGGATTAGTCTGAGTATCTTTCTGTTAATAAGTGAGACACTGCCTGAGGCAGAGCTAGATCTACCCCCCTTCCCCGGCTGGGTCACAGGAGGCATGTTTTCCCCTCACCAGGGCGGGCTGCTCATCTGCTGGGTAAGGATGACAGCAGCACCTCACAGAGCTTTTGGAGAAGGACCAAGTGTGAGCTAGCCATTTCTTTCTTTCTTTTTTTTTTTTAATATATATTTTTTTACATCATTTTTCGTTTTTGCACAATGTATGCATTTTCACCTTGGTTATATTCCCCATACAATTCCCACCCCTCTGATTTTGACCATAATCCTACCCCCCCCCCCCGCACCCCGCCCCGGTTTGTAGTTGCTCATTGATTTTCTTTTTTACTTTATTATTATTAGTCTTTTCCTGGTCCCTTATTTAGGTTTTCTAAATTCCTGCTATGAGTGAGACCATCCGGTATGTTTCTTTTTCTTTCTGGCTTATTTCGCTGAGCATGATCCCTTCCATGAGCTAGTCATTTCTACAAAAATTATCTTGAGAACCTCAGAGCCCCTGCTCTCTACTCTCGTTAGCTTGTTGAGTCCACAATTCTGACCAGAGACCCACACCCACTTTTTTCCTACCTCCTCCCGAACACTGAGTTCAGTGTAACTAAAAAGCTATACACACCCATTCTTGAATTTCAGAAGATTAAAAAAATTACCTAGTTTTGTGGCCACCACAGTTAACCACTGCAAGAATTAAAAAAAATACATATGTATATATTTATACATACACATGTATATATGTATTATTTTTGCATAGAAGAATTGGGGTGCAGCCCAGAGGTGCAGGGGGTGGGAGGACTCACCAGAGACAAAGTGGGGGGCAGAACAGGTGAATCTACTAAAATACACTGCTGAGGGGAGCAGCGGGGAAGACAGGAGAGGTCTGCCGCACCATGTGGGTATCTCCCTTGCCAGGGCTTGAACTCAGGCCACAGCGGTGACAGCGTTGAGACTTAATAATCCCTAGGCTACCAGGGAGGCCCCACTGCTACAAAATTTTTTTAAAAAAGATTTATTCATGCATACAAGAACCGGGGTACAGGACTGATGTGTGTGTGTGGGGGTGGGGGGTGGGGGGTGAGAGGATTCACCAGCGACAGCGCCGGGCACAGAACAGGCGGCCTGACTGAAATCCACCGCTGAGGGGAGCAGCGGGCGAGTCAGGAGAGGTCTGCCGCGCCATGGGGGTAGCTCCCTGGCTGGGGCTCGAACTCATGCTGCACCCACTGCTACAATTTCGGCATACATTTTGGAGCTGTTTTCTTAGGCAAATGCACCATTAAAAACAAACAAACAAACATCCAAAAGCCGAGTCCCTACTGCGCCCACCGCGCTCCCCCCGGCCTCCGCTCGCCCCGCGGCCGGCGCCCCCCCAGCCCGGGGCCGGCGCCCCCCCAGCCCGGGGCCGGGCCTCCCCGCGGCGCACCCCCCGCCCCACCTGCCGGCCCCGCCCCGCCCCGCGCTCCCGCCCGGCCCACCCCGCGCCGGCCTCGGGGCCGCGGCCCGCGCTGCTCGTCGCGGCGCTTCCGGCGTCCCGGCCACATGCAGGCGGCGCGCGGCGCGCGGGGCGGGCGGCCCGGCCGGGGGCGGCCCGGCGGGGAGCGCGGGCGGGCGGGCGCCGCGGCGCCGGGGCCGAGAGGCGGCGGCGGGGACGGAGGCGGCCGGCGGGGCCGCGCGCGGGGCTTTCGTGGCGGCCGCGGCGGCCGAGGAGGAGGCGGCGCCCCGCGGGGCGGCCGCCGGGAGCCGGGAGGCCGGGGCGCCGGGGCCCCCGAGCGGGTAAGCGGCGGCGGCGGGCGCGGTCGGGCCGGGGGAGGCGGGGCGGCCGCGGCGCCTGCGCGGGGCGCGCGGGGCGCCCCCCGCGCCCCCGCCTGGCGCTGCCTCCAGCGGGCGGGGTGCGGGCCTCGGGCCTCGGGCCTCGGGCCTCGGGGCTCCAGAGCGGCTAGGCCGAGGCTCCCGGCCGGGCTGCGAGTCTAGGGGGCGAGTTGGGGGTGTGGGGGCCTCTGTGGTGACCCTTGTGGGGTGGGGCCCGGAGCTTGGTGTCCAGGGGCTCAGACTTGGGCCGCCTTACAGTTTGGGGGGACATTGTTTCTGTTACCAGGAGAGAAGAGGCTTTTAAAAATTTGGTTTGTCAGGTGCCGCCAGTGCCGGGCACACAGTAGGCGCCTATTACATGTTCACTGAAGGGCCGTCCCCGGGCACACAGTAGGCGCATATTACATGTTTGCTGAACGGCCGCCTCCCGGGCACACAGTAGGCCCATATTACATATTTACTGAACGGCCGCCCCCCCCTCTCCGTCCCGGCACACAGTAGGCCCATATTACATGTTTACTGAACGGGTGCCCCCTGGCACACAGTAGGCGCATAATACATGTTTACTGAACAGCAGGGCCCGGACACACAGTAGGCGCATCTTACAGGTTTACTGAACGGTCGCACCCGGGCACACAGTAGGCGCATATTACATGATTGCTGAACGGCCGCCCCGGCGTGTGGGGGTCTGTAATATGGGGCGGCGCAAGCTGGTGCATAGCTCACCCTTTTCTATTTGCATATGTCCGTCAGAATCAGGGGGCCTTGACTTTGGCTTTTTCAATTTCCAACCTATAAACGGTTTGGGAGATAGACCTAAATTTTAATAGCGATATGATCGGTGTTATTTAGACGTTCGTGGAAGGAAATACACAGCTCAGCGCGGGGATGAGATGGGGCAAAGTCATCTTCTACTGATCACATCTGCGGTACAAAATTGCCTGTATATTTTGAATTCTCAGGTGCACATTAAAAAATTTTGAGCTAAAAGTTTTTATTACTGAAATATTTGTAATATTTTAAAGGCACAGTGGGTAAGCTAAAGAGAGTAAATATCACAGGTGGTGTAATATTAGTTGCATACCTAAGTCCAAAGTTGGATCAAAATTTGTGAAACTTAAATAAGTAAAATTTGGGTGGAATATGAAGAAAATCTTAGGGTCGGTTTACCAGGAAATGAAGGAAACTCAGACCGATCCTGTGCATAGTATATATCACAGGTCGTTGTCATAACATCGAGTTTTCTTCATTTTTAGAAGTTAACGACTTGTCTAAGCTGTCACGGCTAATGGCAGAGCTGGCGTTTACCCTAAGCTGCCCTAAGTTTCTCTCTCACTTTTTTGTGACCCAGTCAGGGCTCTACTGAGAATAAAGTAGGCACTCCTTGGCTGCAGGGATATGTTCCCTAGTAATTCAGTGATGGTACCTTTGGTATTTACTGAAGTGTTAGGCACACAGCCTAACACTTATATCTTTTACCTTCTGCTTTAGACCACTACATATTTGTGGCTTATAAGTGAAAAACAAGACAAAACTAAACAAAACAACATCTAGCTATGTAATATTTTTAGGTAACTTCGTGGAGTGCTTTGCATCTGCTGGTCTTCTGTATTTAGATCAGTCCTCTGTAGATGGTGTGAACCCCAGCCTTTAACAACCAGTGCCTTTATCTTGTTGGCTTGTGTGAAAGCAGATGCTTCTGTTTTATTCATCTATGTTGAAATAAATTGAGTAAAATGGTGTCATTTAGAGTCCTTTTTTTTTTTTTGATTTATGCTAGTAGTGTTACCCATTCTATTAAATTTTAGTTTTTTTTTTTTTTAAAGATTTATTTATTTATTTATACAAGCACTGGGTACAGCCAGAAGCATGGGAGGGTGAGAGGATTCACCAGAGCCGGAACGGGGAACAGAACAGGCAGACTGACGAAATACACTGCTAAGGGGAGCAGCGGGTGCGGCAGGAGAGGTCTGTGTGCCATGTGGGACCCTCTCCGGGGATCGAACCGGCACTGCAGAGGCTGCGGGCAGCTTCGCAGCCCACCACTCAACTGCTGCGCCACCAGGGGAGGCCCATAAATTTTAGGATTTTATCTCTTTTTGTGGATGGTCTTTTTTATATTCCTTTAAGATTGTCTTCCTTCACAGTTTAGTGATTGGAAGCATCCAGTGCATGTAAATGTTTGAGGCCTAAATCTAGCTGTCGCCGCCACCACTTTTACCATTGTGACCACTCTCATCATATTTACTGACAAAGCTGGGCAAAGTGATGTGGGAAAGATTATTCCTTCCTTTTGGCGTGAGTTGGTCATCTCCGAGGCCCCTTAGATTGTGAAGTTCTGCTCATAGTTAGGCTTGCTAACAATTCCATTCTTGGAATTGTTAAATAGGATTAAATAGGAGGACAAGGTTGATTGTTATGGCACATTTGTGCCCCAAACAGGGACTAATTGAAATGATCAGAAAGCGTAAGATTAACAGTCGAGTTTGAGCTTGGTAAGGAAGCCTAACCCCAGAATTAACCAGTGCTTATATCTTTTACCTTCTGCTTTAGACCACTACATATTTATGGCTTATAAATGAAAAACAAGACAAAACTAAACAAAACGACATCTAGCTATGTAATATTTCTAGGTAACTTCGTGGAGTGCATTGCATCTGCTGGTCTTCTGTATTTAGATTAGTCCCTCTGTACATGGTGTGAACCCCAGGCCTGCAGAGCTTGGGTGAGCATCTGTCAGAAGGCTACTTACTTCATTGGATCCCCGCTGGAAGTGAGTTGTGCTTGGTGCAGTCCCTAACACAACAAACGGAGGGGAGAGCCCCCAGCCTGCCTGGTGAGTGCAGAGGCCCCAGCCATCTGTGTGGGCAGCTTGCTGTCAAGACCAAACCTCTGGGGCTGGGGTGAGGGTCAAGGGTGGGGGAGGTCTTGGAAGGGAAGAATGATCACTTCTTTTCCAAGTGGAGTGTTTACACCTTACTGTAATGTTTGAACTTTCACAGGAGAGGTAATAATTTTGAGAATAAAATTCTTAACCATAATAATAATGCCCCCTCCTATAATTTGCTTAATATTATCTTTATCTTTTTGATGAGCTATTAACAGAGAGAAAGTCAAGGGCTACTGGCCGACCTTGAAATTTTTTTCCCTCCTTGTAGTGATAATAGTAACACATTTATTGAGCACTTAGAGTGAGATGAGAAAACTGGCAAAGTTAAAAAATTTAGTTAGGAGAGGTGAAAAGATTTTTCCATTATCACTCAGCAAATTGCAGTGCCTAGATTCTCTCCAGGCATTTTGGCTCCAGGGCCTGTTCTTTCAGTAACTAAACTGACTCTGATGCTCAAATTTAGTGTGAATCTGCAAGAAAACGTGCAGGCTTGGAGGCACCTACTCCATGGTTGCGGAAAGGACTCCCCCTCACTGCATCAGCCAGATGGAGCTTGAGAGTCTTAAAGCCCAAACTCAAATTACAGCTTCTGAACTCTGCCTTTTCAGAAAGCCTGAAGCTTTTTTTCCCTTCACCCTTCTCTCAGGGAGAAAGAGTACACAGTGGTCAATAATGTGTGTTTTAGGGTCTAGCAGATGGACTGGTTAGAATCTTACCTTCCAAATTTCAGAAAAGTTGCTTACATTTCTTGAATCTTAGTTTCTTGACCTCACACAATCTTGTAAAGATTGAAATTACATGAACATGGTATGAGATAACTATATAATTCTTATATTTATAGCCACTCTGCCCTTCCCCATGCAGGGTCAGAGCGTGCAGGTCAAGTGCAAAATTACACATTTATTCACACATATTCTTGGATATATATGTATAGAATATTTAGAATTTATATAATTATTGAATAAGTTAACGTTTTAAAAAATATTTATGCATACGAGAACTGGGGTACAGGCCAGAGATGCAGGGGGTGAGAGGATTCATCAGAGACAGAGCGGGAAACAGAACAGGTAGACTGAAGAAATACACTGGTGAGGGGAGCAGTGGGCTAGACAGGAGAGGTCTGCTGTGCCAACTTTTTTTTCATCTAAAATTTTCTTAAAGGTTTTGAAGCTTTAAGTCTCTCACCTGAGACACTTAGTCTCAGAAGAAGCTTAAGTCTCTGAGAAGCTTAAGTCTCTCTCTCACAGAGAGCTGAGGGGCTCTCTGTGTTTTTTAGGTTATGTTTTCAATGCTCTGCCAGGAAATGTACATCTGTGGGCTAACTTTTCCTTTTTGCTTGTGTAGAGCTTCACAGAGAGCCATAGGTAAGAGATTAAGTCCTTCTCAGACCTCTCCCGGCCATGCCCACAGTCTTGCCATGGTGCATGACCTGGATCCTTAGGAATGTGTTAGAACTTTACAAAGCTTTTTTAAGCATCTCATTCCCTGTTTTACCTTACACTTTTTTTTTTCCAGCCCCTTTTGAGCCCCACCTAGGCAGCTGTGATGTTTAAGCCTTTGCTGGTAATTGTTTTTGCCAAACTTCTCAGTGATAGCACTGAGTGATCTTTAAGTCTAGTCAAGCAAAGACAAGACCTCAGAATGGGGCTGCCAGGTAGGTCAAATAGTGACAGCATGCTGGAGTGGGCCTTCAGCGACTCTTCTGCCTTCTATAGTGGCTGCAAGGCTGCAGGCTTTCACAGGCTCCATAGCTGTGAGCTGGTGGTTTTCAAAGCTACTGCAGAGCTGGGGAGAGGAGGATGGGAATGGAGCAAGTTGCTGTTCTTGTGGAAAGCTCCCTGTTTTTCTTAACAAAATGCTCCTTTGATAGTTGCAAGTGTTTGCTTAATTTCCAGAGTTCTTAAATTTCAGTTTAAGACTCTTTCACTTTGAGAGAGTTGATTTTGACAATTTTTGTCAGTGTTCTTGCTTTTGTAGTGGAGTGGATTTTCAGGGGCTCTTACTCCACCATTCCAGCATTCATTTCCACTCTTTCTAATTGTAAGATAAATTTTTTTCTTTGGGACAAAACATG